GGAACAATATTTTCTTCCATGGGAGGACAGGTCAAAGGTTGGACCTCTGTCCTGCTCTGTTCTGTTTATATATCTGGATTCTGATCACTGGATTCTACAGATTGGCTTGGTGGTCTCCTGGTGTTTTACAAAACAGCGTCGGTGTCTGTTCAGGCCATTTCTTGGCTGCCTGACRGATGTGAAGGATTGCTGTTCTATCAGCACTCAGACTTTTGCCTTGAACGAGCTGGACTTGGTCTGCAAGCGGCTCTGCTGAGGGTCTTGGGCCGGCCGTGGTCCCTGGACTTTGCTGGCCAGATGGAATTGATCTTGAAGAAGCTGAGAGTTCAGCTCGGTGGAACTGTCCACATTATTTGTCTGATTGGATTCACCACCTTGAGATGTACCAGCGGACATTAAGGCAGATGGAAAATTATTATTGTCTGCCTGCCCGAAAACATTTTCTTCTGTTCCCAAACAACTGATTACAGATACGGCTCTCCTATATGGCCTTGAAGAGCTGTGGACTAAATTCTTCCCGGATGTTTATGTCGACTGAGGCTCTGCCCCACACCTCCCCCCATCTCAAACCCYTCTGTGATCTGTTCCTTGAGCAGGCTGAGGGCTGCACAGAATAAAAAATTAACATCCTTATTCTGAACTATGGCTGCGCTGGTTTATGGGGACTCGATTCTTCGGGCTCATTTTTCAGACGTTCACACAAGTGCATACAACACTCCAAACACACTAGTGTGTCACATTGTTGATATAATATGATGGTTTGGTTTATTTCCTCATCTATCCTTGTGTGGTTTTTAGTTTTTCTTTTGAGGGTTGCACCTCCTCATGATGTCTTCATGATGATGATCCTTGCTCTGTGCAGGTCTGTGGCTGRATGACCCAGAGCACCTGTTCTCCTATGTTTGTTATGTTCTGTCTTCTTCTGAATGGGGGTTCTGAACTGTGATTTCATTGTGCTCTGTACAATAACAAAGGTCTATCTAATCTTATCTTATCTTATCTGACTCTAAACCTAACCTAAGCTCTATTCCCACTTTAGTACAAATCCTAACCCCTGACCCACCATTGGTCTTTCCCCCAGTAGGGACCACGCTTAGAACAGTGGGTTCTCACCAGGCTGTGTACCGGGAAAATGGTCAAAAATTGTGCTCACCAAATAGCAAAATCATGTACATACACACACATTTTTTCTATCCTCTAGGGACTTTACGAAAGAATACTGAAAGTACGAAAGAAAGTACGAAAGAATACTGTTAAATTTGACACCTTCCTCTATTGTCAGAATCAACAATAACTGCACCTACTGCAAAAATAACAGTGCAATATAGTATTTCTTTCCAGGGTAGAAATAAACCTACCCTAACAACTTTAATTTTGTTAACAGACTTATTTCTGAATGAGTGGATCATAAAGTCAAAGTTGAATGTTTTGGATCAGTATGGTAAACTCAGATAAAAATTTCATCTTGTGTTGGGGTAGTGACTTTTTGACCCTCTGATGACATCATTGTTTGCACATTTTATAGTTGGGCTTAGTTACAAGTTGTTCCTTCGTTCTGCTGCTACAGGCTCAGACCGCTGGAGGACAGACTCTCCTCTACATGTTTGGTGTTATAATTATTTCCATCAGTAACGTTTTTCTTTTTTGTCTCTCATCCAAAAACCTCTTTAAGAAGTCTTCAGTTGATCCAAAATGCTGCTGCTAGAGTTTTAATGAGAGTTGGAAGG